GAGGAAGAGAGGCTAAAACAGACTGAAAATGAGGCTTAAAATGCAAGTATCTTGAAAATTACAGTAATTAGATTTGCAAAGACATTTTGAAGGACTCTATCGAATTCTAAGCACATTCTAGAAAGAGGAAGACTACAAGGGAAATGTGGATGGTCTCGGAGAGAGCAACTTGACAGATATAAAGAAACAGATGCAATAGGATGCAGATCCCTAACTACATGCCAATAAGCAAAGGGTTAACTCTTTGTGCAGATCTCCCACAAGTGTACCATAATGAAGCCAGGCTGGGGACTGAAGGGCCAATCAGGCACCAAAGACATTCTAGAGCAACTACTGGAATCTAGGGGTCCTTCAAGAGGCAGAGGCCCACGCCCAGTCTTGTTGCTACTGGATCATAGCCCAGTCTTGGCTTTTTCTGTTTGACCCTATGTTTATGCAATACCCTGTTGTTTCTTTCCTTGTAACTTGGCTCAGGAATAAAAAACAGAAAAAAACCCTCACTTGTTTAAGACCATTGGGCAACATTTAATTGTAACTAAACACCATGGAATTTCTTTAAAAAACCAACAACACTAAAAGAGCATTAAAATTGCAAACTCATAAGAGTTAGGAAATGCCAGAATTAAGGTTGCCCATGCAACCAGTCTTTAAATTGCATAATCACAAACTATTTCTCCCTAGGACCCCTGTTTCACTCAGTGAATGGGTAGTGATTCAACATTTCTTTTTACCCTCCTCATTCAATGTGCAGCCCAGGCCTCATTTAAAATGCACACAATCCAAAGCCTGCACTGAATATAAAAAGTATTCATTTCCTCCTGGGTGTTTCTACCATAATGTCTGAACACTTCACAAACATTAATGGATTTATCTTCACAATAGCCCTGTGAGATTAAGTGGTAGAAAGTCCTACTTAGCGCCTGCAGGCCTATGGTGGAGCATACTCAGTCACTGTGAGGAAGACATGTGCAGTGCAGTCAGCAGGCAGGTACTGTAGGAGGCTGAAGCATTCTCAATGCACACAGGCTCTTCAGAGAACTTAGCTATCCAAACTCTAACCAGCTGCTATTGGGCACATGCAAATAGTTTTTTTCAGAGGCTTAAAACTTGGCCAAATTTGGGTGAATTTTCAAAGGGATGTCCTGGACTGCCAATTTCAAATCCCTGCTGGAATGCATGGAGGTACTAGAGCTTCTCAACAAAAACATTGTAAGAATTTTTTTTAACACCGGCAAATAAATGTGTTTTTCGGTGATCTCATTCTCAGAAACAGCTTAACTATTTTAGCTGAAACTTTATAGAAAATTTCAGCCAAAGGCAGACACCTGGCATGGAAAATTTCAACCTGAACAGTTTAAGTTTAGCAAAGTTATAAGCAACTGAAAACAAGGTCTTAAACTGGAAGTGTCTGGTAATCTTAAACAGAGGTGGCTCTACCAGCTCTGCCTATAATTATTTTTTGAGCATCTAAAAGCATGCTAGATGTCTCACAAACAAGTAAAGAAACAACCATTTTTAAAAAGTGCATAAGGAACACACTTACTTACAGTACTGCAGGTGGGGAACAGGCTGCTCTATTCAGCTACCTAACAGAGTGGGGGAACACACACCAGTTATCAGAAGTAAGAGAGGGGTGGAGCATAGCTCCAACCCATAATAATCTAAGTAACCCAGTTAACCCCTTGATGACCATTTTACTAGATTCCTCTCCTCTTAATTTACATCCTGGATGTAAATCTTTTAAATAGCCAGGGGCTCTTCTCTCTCTCTCTCAGAAGGTAGCACCAGCATGCAGCAGCCTGAGTCTCCCCCAGGAGCAGAGACCCCCTTTCCTCAGTCCCCTGGTCCAGCAATTCTGTCAATACCCTGTCTCAGGCATTCCTGATAAAACTGCATCCTTTCCTGGCCTCAGTCCCTCCAGATGGTCATCACCCAAGGGCAAAGGCTCTGGTGCTTACACATCACTCTGCAAGCAGACATGATCCTGATGTCATTTTATGACTTGCCCATCATTTAAACTGATTTTAAACAACCAGGGTTCAACTTGCCCTGGGATAGTATCCAGAATCCATGTTGGCTGGCGAGCATTGAAACTTTTGGTATAGAGCAGGTTCTTTGTGCCTAGCTCTCTGTCTTTAGCATGACAGTCATGGGTTTTTTAAACATTTGCTTCATCAACACTCCCCCTTCCGTGGTAGGATGGATGAAGTCCCAATTATCTTCCATCCATCAACAGCTGGGCCAGGTTCACGCTCCCTGTAGTTGGAGGAATGGTTCTGTATTTCAGAGGAAATAGAGCCAGCTTTGTTCCCAAGCTCCCATTAATCTTCTTCTCCAACCCCACTTTAAAAGTCCTTACAGCTGTCTCTGCAAGGCCACTGGATGATATGGGGATGTTTTAATATGTTAAATCCCATTCTTGATCAGAAAGTCTTTAAATCTCATGCTTGTAAAATGTGGTCCATTGTCTGTGACAAGTACTCCTGGTATGACATCGGAGCTTTTCACAAGTAGCAGTGGAGGTCACCAAGGTCATCACATGGATTTCTAACCATTTAAAATGTGCATCCACTATGATTAGAACCATTTTTCCCATGTTAGGGCCTGCAAAGTCTATACGTGTGCAGAACCATGAGTGGCCTGGCCATTCCCAGAGATGAAGGCATGCCAGCACGGAGGTCTGCTGGTGTATTTAACATTGATGACATCCCTTTACTACTTCTTTCCGGTCATTATCCATGTTTGGCCACTATACACAGCTCCGAGCCAAATATTTTATGTGTGAAATGCCAGGTTGTGCTTCAGATAACTGTCAGGACTTTATCCCATCGTTGTGGGGGGAAATAATGACTCTTGTGCCCCACAACATACATCCATTCTCTATTACTCAAGTCAGTACTCCTAGTCATAAATGGACAGAACTCTTCCCCTAACTGCAGGGCTGGCCACATCAGAGAAAGTGCCGATGCACTTAGGACAAGATAGGAACCCTGTCTAGTCCATTTCCTTAACAGGGAAGCCTTTGCTCGAGGTTTTCCACAATCTCTCCTGGAAGCTCCATGGAACCTGATAATGGCAATTGACTGTGCGCATCTTTTTTGGCATGCTTGTGCCCTGCCTTTTAGACTATCCTATAGCCATAAGTGACTACGATCAAAGCCCAATGCTGGAGCCAGGCAGCTGCAATGGCCGGCAAACCCTTGTTTTCACTGAAGAGGCCACAGAGCCACAGCACAATCACAGTACTGAATCTGGACACAGCTTTCCCTCTGCTGTACCCAGAGCACAGATTCCGTGACCTGACCAAGTTGTTCCAGCTGGAAGACCCCAGATCGAGATCATCAGCATAATTATCATAGGCCATCAAACATCAATCTGATTGTGGCAATTGTGAGTTGGTATCAAGTCTGTACCTGTAACACTGAGTGCCATTCCAAGCCCCTGGAGTTACCTAATTCTGTTGCTCAAAGCAGCACACTAAGAAGAAAGCAAAGTGACAGTGTCCCATCTCACACAAGAGCCATCACAGACTTGAGGTGAAACACACTCCCTATGTTCAGAAACCCTGGAAGTTACCAAGCACTCCTAAAGGCGTATCACACAAAGACAATGACAGATTTGGTTTTTCAGCATTTGGTTGGCAAGATTTTGCATCTGCAAAAATGGGAAAGTGTCTTCAAGATTGCAGAGCCGGTGATAGGGAAACGTCATCAAAATAATTAAAGATGCGGGGTCTGAGTCTAGTTCCCAGCAGGACAGCTGTCTACTTCACATAAACCACCAGGAGAAGTGCCAATAATTGCCCCCCATACTGGCACTCAGTAGAAAAGCCAAAGACAATGGATTCCAGAAACTGAACTCCTTACACCCCTAGGAGGATCCATTTCATTCCAGGCTTGGAGTGAGTCACATTAGCAGGGGGTGGTGTGTATGGGAAGCTGTATTCACCCTAGGAATAAACAGAGGATTCTGACAGCCTTCCGAGCTGTCAATACAGCTTCTTTCACCAGTACTGAATTCACATAAAACTAATAGTGTAAAAAAGAGGAAGAAAACACAAACACGCTTTCACAAACTCTGTGAAAAGAAAAAAAAATTACTAAGCAAAACACCAGAAACTGAGTTGCTGCATAGGTAGGGGAGAGAGAGAGAGTGTGTGGGCTTGTCAATTTTTTTAACCCTTTGCGGATCACCTTGCTGCTAATCCCCAACCTCCTCCCTTCATGTCCTTCTCAGTCTCCCCACCCCCAGTTCTCAGTTGCCTATTGCTTCTGGTCACTTTATCAAGCGGGCAGAGCGGCATGTATGTAAATTACTCCACCATTAAATTAGAGTTCCATGTATAAAGGTGCTTTAAGCCAGTGATTCCCAAACTTTTCAGGTGTTTAGCTTAACCAGCCTAACACCTTGCCTGGTCGAGCCAGTGTGCACTGCCTCCCATTCAGCTACATGTGTTCCATCCCCCAGTGCTGCCTGGGAGCTCCTCATGATTGTGTGACAGGAGTTTAGAGTACCCCATGCTTCATAGGAGTTAGAGCCTTCCCAGCTGAGTGGGAGGCGGGCAGTAGCATAGCACAAAATCCAGGGGCTGCAGTGTCATTTAATGAGGGGGCATGTGAGGGGTGAGGGCCCAGTTCTGCCCCCAAGGGTGGGAGGCTCTGAAGGGGGAAATGGTGCAGAAGAAGCCTGACCGACATTCACCCCACACTATCCTATGGGTCTGGTCTGGTTCCCCACTCTGGCCTATTGGCTCTTGCCACAGTGTGCACAGGGCACACCCTGCCCTGCCCTATCCTCTTCCTGGCACCCTGGTGTGCTAGATTGCCTGCCCCAAACTGGGCACGACTGAGTCCCAGTGTAACCCATGTGCCTAATAGGGAGATATCTCTTTAAGAGATCCATGGTGGGAGATAGGAGTGAGTTGCGTCTGGGTCATTGTTGCTAGGCAGATTAAGCACTCCACAGCCAGAAGCTTCTGGAATTGGGTGTGGTAGTTTTGGGTATGCTCCAATAGGTTCTCTGTTGCTGGAGTCAGACTCCATGAGGGCAAGCAGGCAGGAGGGCTGCTTTGCAGAAGGCCATGTGCCCTGTGTGAGTTGAGAGAAGCTGAGCCCAGGAACAGAAACCAGGCTGTTATCCCTAACTCTGAAGCATTTTGCAGCAGGTTAGTGATATTGTTAACCCTCTAACAGGGAAGCACGGGCAATGCTAATTATAGCAAGGGGAAATTGGGAGAGGAAAATAACAACTTCTATTTTAATTGTATGATTTGAATGTTGTTTTGATTTTAGCCAAACTGTTCTAGTTAAATTGTCTCAACGAGTCTGATTCACCAACTTTTCTTTAAATGCAGTAATGGGGAAAGAGTCATTTATATTTTGCTATTCTCAGTTTTGTATTTTCTTGTAACAGGGTTTTCTTTAAATCTATACACTTAACTGCGTGGTTTGTTGATCAGTTAGCTGACTGGCTAGCAGTGATTTCAGCAGACGAAGAGTCTGCATGGATTCCAACTGAAGATTCCTACAAGCAGGTGGAGGGAAGATGTTGTTTTAGACCAGGTTGTTTTAGACCCGAAGGCGGCACGCAAGCTGATTTTCAGTGGCATTCACGCTTCCCGGGTCCTGGCCACCGGTCCAGGGGGCTCTGCGTTTTAATTTAATTTTAAATGAAACTTCTTAAACATTTTATAAACCTTATTTACTTTACATACAACAATAGTTTAGTTATATATTGTAGACTTATAGAAAGAGACCTTCTAAAAACGTTAAAATGTATTACTGGCACGCAAAACTTTATATTAGAGTGAATAAATGAAGACTCAGCACACCACTTCTGAAAGGTTGCCAACCCCTGTTTTAGACTCAGCAGGCTATATAGATTTGGTGATCAAAGACTCTAACTGAGACTTAGGTGAACAAAATCTAAGCTTTTGGGAACTTTCTGTTTCTTCTCACTGTATTTCTGTGGGGACTGAACTGTTCACTTTTTTATTTTAATGTTTTTTCTTTATGTTTATATATAACTGTGAAGGTAATGTCTGTATTATAAAATAGCCATGTTATGCTTAAAAATTAGATTATAAAATCTTATGATAAAGAAACAAAGTTATTTAATTACATTAATTTCTTTAGTTCCTTTTGGGACTTGAATGTGGGGAGGTTGACCCTGTGCAATCCTTGCTGAAAATCCTTAGAGACTGAACTCTGGATCTCCAGCTGCTCTGGGAGTTGAGGGTGTTTTTTAAGGCACTAGAGACAGGAAATGAAGTGAACTCTAGCCCACTCAAAAGTTACACCAGCACAGAGGATAATCTCTAAAGCAGGGAGGGGAAGCCTAGAGCACAAACGTGAATACACAGATCAGGGCCTGCAAACAAACTGCTTGACAGGACCTTATTACACAAAAAGGAAGACACTTGGGGTTTCTTCCTCCCCAAGCAAAACAAATGTCCGAAAGTGGGAGCCTTGCGTACATAGGAAACCACAATCCCCTCCAGCTTTCCAGCGTGGAGGAGCATGCTGAACTTCCCCATCCCCCTGCAGCCTTTCCTCCCTCGCTCCCTCCCACCGTAGATATATAAGGCTAAGTTGATGAGCTGTTCAGCTTAGTGTGAAATGTGTTACATTTTCCCCCCAGCTGCTTCCTGATTGCAGTATTTACTTTTAATCTCCTCTGCCTCGATGCCCGATAAAAACTTTGTCACATTAGATGGTGACAGATGGGAAAGAGAAGGGGGGGGGGATCACTGCAAGGGAACGTCCTGGCTTCCCAATAATTTTTCACAACGCCAATTATGTCCTTCAGTGCTTCCCGGCATGTGCACCCATGTCAGCAGAGAAGGAAATAGAAAGGCATAAATAAAGACAAAACCAGGCGCTGCGTGGCTTTAAACTGCACAATAACATTTCTTATTTGGGTGAAATATTGTTGGATTCTCTCCCTGTGCTGGGGAGAGATGCACACACAAAGTTCAGGACTGCTTGCCCTGTGCTTGGAAAGCATCTACCCCTGCAAGTGGCTCCCCAGCATCGTGAGCAGCAGAGTAGGCATGTGCCTTGCCTTCTGTAGTGGTTCCTATTTCCAGTGAGCCAAACTCTGAGATACTTAGGCAAACTCCCATGGATTAAAGGAGGCCTCAAGATTAGCTGCATCTAGACTAGCACAAGAATTTTTACAACCTTTAAAATCAACTCCTCAAGAATATACTGTGTTGTTGTGCTAGAGGATGTTGGTAGCTGCCATCAAGCAGGTCTTTGATCTATGGGCAATCACAGATGTCACTGATGCTGATGGGCATGCTAGGCCCTTTCATTCAGGTTAAATGTAAGAACAATTAAGCTTCTTTATGGATTAAGACAGAGGAAACAACTGAAACCACTATCCAAGGTGCAGGCCACATGAGAAGGCCTGAGCAAATACCACCTGAAGAAGAATAAAAGGGATTTCCCTGGGACTGATTGAAAATGCAACAGGTGGGGCATTGATTGATGAGACTGAGTCCGTCTACAGGTCAGAAGCAGAAAGGAACCAGAAAGCCAGAGAAACATGGGTAGCATGACCCTCAGAGGAAGCAAAGACAGATATCCTTGGGGCACAGAACTGGCTGGAAAATAGGCTTAGATTTTTGAATAGGGAAACTGCCTCCTGTTTGTTCCTGTTGTGTTCAGGGAAACAGGACGCTATTTTTACAAAGCATGCACACAAACAGGATTTAATCAAAGAAATAACTGACCATCAGTATCTCCTCCAGATGGAAACAACCCAGCCAGGCCCTGGGCCACGGGAGTTTTGGTATCATCAGAAGCCCTGGTTTATGACATTAGCATAGTGCAACAGAATAAGACACATCAAGTATATGTAAGAGCAAATGCTACACGGTGTGGATGGCACAGTGGGTTAGTATAGTGACTGCTCACTTCTTCACATCAGTGTTCAAATCCTGGCCCCATCGCACAAGAGATGAGAGCTTGGTGGTTTTCGTTCTAGACACAAAACCTCACAACAGTCTGACAGGATGGCACCCAACGAAGGTGCAGTAGTGAAATAGCAGGGATTGCTGTAGGTCAGGATTGAGGTGTATCAACTGAGCTTCTGGTGGGGAGGGGGTGTCAAGGTCTAAAATAGCAAGGGATGGATCACATCAAAGAATAACGCATAGTCTCCTGACACTAACCAAAGTATTAGCAGGTAGAAGATACCAGCATGCATTGTATCAGTGAAAAACTGGGCATCAGCCAAGAAGCAGAATTACTGATTCAGCCAGGCAATGTGTGAGAGCAAGGGGTCTGTGTGCACAGACAGGGCTAGAAGTACTGATGGAGGGCAGGGAAGGCAAGGGTTTGTAAGCCACATGAGTGATGAGTAGTATTCTGGGAAGAAGTCAAGAGAGCTGTGTGTGCAAGCAGGCAGGCACACAGCTACTGGCAGAGGGAAAATAGGTAGGGCAAAAGTATGTGGGGCCATTTAGTTAAAACCCTTTTGCTGTAGGGTCGATCTGTAAGAAACACCCTGACACTGGAGTCAGGATTCACTTCACATATAGCTTGAGATGCAGCCTCCTTGTGATTATATAAGGCCAGATTTCAGCAGAAGTATTTATATTTATGTGCCTGTCAGTATGGACATGAGTGTGTGTACGTGCAAGTGTATGTATGGGCAGGTTTACAGACCAAATTATGTCAGTGAACCTCCACCTGGCTGCGCACAGCTAACATGGGCATGGATGGATGTTGCCACAGCAGTAAAAATATCTCTTCTCCTGTGGGCAGAGCCACCAGCCAGGGAGGAAAGATGCATCTCTTAGGAGCACTCACACTGCAAAAGAAATAAAATACATTGGAACCTCAGTGCTACAAACACCGGAGTTACGAACTGACCAGTCAATCACACACCTCATTTGGAACCGGAAGAATGCAATCAGGCAGCAGAGACAAAGGACCCCTCCTCCCCCCCCCAAAAAAACAAAAAAGTGAATACAGTAAACAACTAAAAGAATAAATGGAAAGCAGCATTTTTCTTCTGCACAGTAAAGTTTCAAAGCTGTATTAAGACAACGTTCAGTTATAAACTTTGAAAGAACAACCATTATGTTTTGTTCACAGTTATGAACAACCTCCATTCCTGAGGTGTTCGTAACTCTGAAATTCTAGTTTACACCCAGGCCAGTTAAGAGTCAATAAATGCAGGTACAAAAACAGCCTAAAGCCACAAAAGACAATGACTACAAAGCAAAAAGATGACAAGGCAATGGGACTTAACAATTAGGAGGCTAGGAGAGAAGAACATAGGTCTATCCAAGACATTTTTAAGCACCTACCACCTTTTAAAGGGAAAGGACTATATTTTTGCACAGGCCTAAGCCTGATTGGAGCCCCTGGTATAATGAAAGGTTTCAGAGTATAATGGTATAATGGTTATACAACTACTAAGCAACAGTACCATCTCTGCAAGGAGAGCAATAGTCAGGCCACGGGGAGGGCTGTTATAGAGATTTTTATCCTAAAATCATAAAGTTGGCAGTGCCCAAATGACAATTGAGGTTCTAGATGCAGAACCTAGGTGCGATAACTTGCTTATGCAGATGAGAACTGCCATTACGATCAAGCTTAGGGCTAGATAGCCAGGACAGAAATGCTGCCACACCTCATAAGAAATAACTGCTTCAGAGGGGGAAATCAAATCTGGGTCTCCCACTTCCCAGGTGAGTGCACTAATCACTGGGCTGAAAGTTATAAGAGGGGGACGGGGAGTGGGTGGCCTTAGTTCACACTGGGCGTGCTCAGAGGTTTCATTCCCCCAGTGTCCTTACCTTAATTTATTTGTATAGTCACCCTCATTCTACCAACTTGATGCCTTCATTACTCCCCTGGCATAAGCAGTTTGAAGGGGCTGGTAACATTTTACTCATCTGGTAACTTCCAGCTATTTAATGATATTGCACACACTAATCAGTGGCCAGATACACTTTCTATGTTGACGACATATTATGATTATTTGTTAACTTTGTGCTCTGTAAAAGAAACAAGAGAGGATACTGTCCCTGCCTTGAAGAGCTAATTTACAGTCTAATAATACCATGTAATCATACCATCTAGATATGACAAGCACCACACAAATAGAGTGTAAATGCATGATCATTTCTTCTGAACCAGAGGGCAGGTC